ACGTCGAGTCAGACAACGATCGGCGAGACGGACACGGTCGTCGAGTCGAACACGATCGTTGAGTCGAACACGATCGTCGATTGCGTTCGTCGAGTTGAACACGATCGTCGAGTCGGACACTATCGTCGAGTCGAACACGACCGTCGAGTCGAACACGTTCGTCGACTCGGACACGTTCGTCGACTCGGACACAGTCGTCGACTCGAACACGACCGTCGACTCGAACACGACCGTCGACTCGAACACGATCGTCGACTCGGACACGATCGTCGAGTCTAACACGATCGTCGATTGCGTTCGTCAAGTCGAACACGTTCGTCGAGTCGAACACGATCGGCGAGTCGAACACGATCGGCGAGTCGAACACGTTCGTCGAGTCGACACGACCGTCGAGTCGAACACGTTCGTCGAGTCGAACATGATCGTCGAGTCGGACACGATCGTCAAGTCGAACACGACCGTCGAGTCGAACACGATCGTCCACTGCGTTTGTCGAGTCGAACACGTTCGTCGAGTGCCCTGTCGTCGAGTCGAACACGATTGTCGAGTCTAGCACGATAGTCGAGTCGAACACGATAGTCGAGTCGAACACGATCGTCGAGTCGGACACGATTGTCGAGTCGGACACAATCGTCGAATCGAACACGATCGTCGTGTCGAACACGATAGGCGAATGCCCTGTCGTCGAGTCAAACACGATCCTTCCCTGTCCTCTAGTGGAACGAGAATGTGGGCGGTGCAATGTCATCGAATCATTCATGATTGTGTGCAGTGCTATGGACTGTGCATGGGCGTGGATTGCGCTCATAGATTCTGTGCATTGTGCTGTCGTGCGGCCTGGTTTGTTCCATTGTTGGTGGGAGCGGGGTGAATAGTTTTATGCTGCTGTTGGTTGTTCTATTGCTGCTGTTGACCGTTGCCCTTGTGCCGTGCAGGGCGTCTCCTCTTCACTGTTGCTATGGAGATCTCTTATATGACCCCAGCACTTTGGCGTGCACGCAAGGCACACCCTTTCCCACCCTGCGCGCTGTACGTCCGGCAATGTCAGGGTAGCATAACCTATGAAGGCACTTGTCCAGAAGACTTCGAATGCGACCCTTGGATGAGAATCCTCCTGTTTGGTGACAAACATTTGGACTCGTGAAAGGAGTGCGAGTGGGTGAACATGATGGAGAGATGCCCGTGGGCGTGCGATTATGAGTTCGCGAATATGTCCGAATTCGGAAAACGCATTCCCGTGCCGTTCGATGTGCTGCGTCCCGTGCGCTTGCTGCTACTGTGTAAAAAACTAAAAATAAGCCGTGTTGTGGGGGTTTTGGACTGCGAATATGTGACAACCTCGCCTCGCACCTGGTGCCGTGTTATGAAATAGGAGTTACTCGATTGTGCGCGACATTCTCAGTTCCTCGATCATTATTTGTTGCGATCTCCCGGTCTGTCGCCAAGAGCAGTTTCGTATTGTTGTGTGAGATTGCGTCTGGCATACTTTATCTTCTGTAGGGTCCTCTGTATTGCCGTTTCGAGCAGGGCAAGAAACTTGACCGATGATGTCGTGTATATGTCCAGGAACGAGTTGTCTATGTTAGGGAGGGATATGTGTTTAGTTCAAAGAAGGGTAGATGGGAGACTGGATATCGTGGTGGGTGGCCAGGTGGAAGACGTTGTCGCATGGCGCGAGGTCGAGGCTAAAGTCATTTCAATTCAGGATGCTATAGGCGCTTCTCTCGTCGGGAACTCCGGGTTCGTGCGAATGACATACATTTCGGTGTTTGCTGAGACGGCGCAGCAGCTGACCTTCGGATCGCCAATTAGCGTGTTGAATGGCCGCAACGGCAAGATTGTTCCCCGTAGTCGGTAGATAGCCTTCGTCATACTGGATGACCAAAACGGCATACTAAATGGCCGAAATGGCAGCAACGACGAGATTGTTTCCCGTAGTCGATAGACAGCCTCGTGGAATTCGCATTGCGATTGCTGTTCTCAATGTGTTATTTCGATAGCAATACGCGGTATATGCTGGTTGTTCTCGATTGCTGTTCTCAATGTGTTATTCGATAACAATACGCGGTATCTGCTAGTTGTTCTCGTCATGTGTTCAGTGGCCAAAAGTACACACATTTGACGTTGTTGTCCTCATATTGTTTTCCGATTCATTGAAACCCGGGAATGATGACACGTGTTTTTGGTTTGGCTTTGGACATCGACAAATCGCTGCCAGCCGAGTGTTTGATTGTTGTTCTCATGTTGTGTTTCCTTTCGGAAAACAAAAACTCATTGTTCTGATGTTTTGCGTGCACAAACATTCAGCAGTCAATGTTTATCCGTGTTAACCAGTGCCTGCGATCTGTTGTCTTGTGTTCTCGTGATCAAGTGCCCCTTTAGGCACCGTCCGCCGACCATTGTGTCGAACACGGCAAATGTCGCACAGCACACCCCAGTGTTGCTGTCGTGTTCGACATGATGGTTGCCAGACGGTGCCCGAAGGGGCACTTGGTCGACTGTCGAACGACGGACGACAGTGTCGCTGTCGTGTCGAACTCGACGGTCAGCTCCCTTACAGGCACCGTTTGGCGACCATCGTGTCGAACACCACATGGACACTGTTTTCTGGCGACCAGATGGTGCATGAAGGGCCGCTTGGTCGACTGTCGCACGACAGACAACAGTGTAGCTGTCGTGTCCGACACGACGGTTGGTCAGCCCGCGCAGTGCCGTCGGGTTCAACACGACAGTGACACGACGACACCGCAATGTCGCTCTCGTGTCGGATTCGAGACGGTGCCCAAAGGGCCACTTGGTCGACTGTCGAACGGCGGACGACAGTGTCGCTGTCGTGTCGAACACGATGGTCAGCTCCCCTACAAGCACCGTTTGGCGACCATCGTGTCGAACACGACATGGACACTATTATCTGGCGACCAGACGGTGCATGAAGGGCCGCTTGGTCGACAGTCGCACGACAGACAACAGTGTAGCTGTGGTGTCCAACATGACGGTTGGTCAGCCTGCGCAGTGTCGTCGGGTTCGACACGACAGTGACACGACGACACCGCAATATCGCTCTCGTGTCGGATTCGACGGTACTGGAGGACGTCGTGGCACGACCATCGAGTTCGACACGACAGTGAAACGACGACGAGCTGGCGGGCTGCGGCCCGCTTCAGTTTCTCTGTGTTCCTGTCTACTCTTGTTCTGAAGTGTTGTGGTGTTTGCACGTTGGCAAAACAATGACTGCTTTCTCGCTTCTGCATTTTCTTCAGTTGCAACTAGCTGCTCGGCATGGATCGTGAGGGGAAGCCAAGCAAACGACGTACTAGTGCTGGTTCCGGGAGCATGGAGCAGTCTCTGAAAAAACCGAAGGGGACACCGACGGCTGGCGTGGGGGCTGGCGACACACCGGGGCCTAAGGGCCACCGAACCCCGGTGCTGCGGGGTGCACCTTCTACGGGCACTCCTTCCGCCCATGTTCGAGGTTCGGGACCGGATTCGGCTGTGTTGATGAGTGGTGGGGCTGCGGGTCGAGAAGAGGAGGCTACTGGTCGGCAGGGGAAATCTGCGATGGACGTTGTGCCGAGGCGTAAAAGGTCTGGTGACACGTCCGCTGCAGGTGTGGGAGACGAGGTGTCTGTCGTCGACCACAAAGACAAGTGCTGGATGTTGGACTGGGTGGGTGGAATCGGGGAACGCTCGGGTGGGCTGGTTTTGTACGTGGTGATAAAAGATAACATTGTTCCGATTGGCGGTGTGGTTAAGTGGAGTGGAGAAAAATCACCGTCGGCCATGTTGGAGTTGACGATGGTCCTTAACGCTAGAGGTGAGAGGATGGCGGGTGTCAAACGTGTTGCTCTTCGTTGGGCCAAACACGCTGGGTACGGCAAGAGGCTTTATGACATTTTCAATCCGCCTGGGACGGAGAAATTGACGTTGCCATACCTTCGATCGGTTTTCGCATTCTTCGACAGACATGTGGTCGCAGGGCATGAGCCGGTGGTGCATGCTTCCGACCGCATATCTGAACCGAAAAGCGTGCTTTTGTCGTCTTTGGAGGCGGCTCCGTTGTCGAAACCGATCATTATAGGTGCCCGCCCTCCGCCATCAATTCGGACTACGGTTGCAGCAACACGAGTTCCGAAATCTGGGCAAATCGGGGAGAAAGGTCCGTGTCGTGGCCAAATCGTGCCGTCAGCCCCTGTGAAGCATAGACCAACATCAACCAAGGAACCCGTTTCCTTGGTCCGCCCGCCGTGCTATGAGTTGGCCATTCCTGCTGGGTCGCATTATTTTGGAGATTACGACGAGAAAAACAGCGAAGAAGAATGGGAGCGCGATGGAGAACGTGAAGAATGTGGGGAGGGTGGCGAAGAAGAGGAAGTAGAGAGTGAACACACAATCAGCGAGAGGGGTGGGCCGGGCGAGTTGGAGGGTCGTCTAGGGGTTGAGTATGAGGACGAAGGGCAAGAAGAGGAAACGACCGGCGAGGGAGGGTATGCAGATGTGCATCGGGGTTCCAAACGAATGCAGCTGCTCGCGCCGGGTCATGGGCATTGGGAAACGGATCCAGGGCGCGGGGAAATGCACCGCGAAGTTGGGGTCGAGCCGGCGCATGCCGATGCAGTACGACTAGCTGAGAAGAAAAGGAAAATGAGGCAAGAGAGGAGAAGTGCTATGGATAGTAAGAAAACCAAGCAGGAGGGGGGAGCCAAGCAAGAGGAGGGCAAACGCAAGTTGAAAATGCTGGCAGTTGAGGAGGCCGTCCAACGTACGCGGGAGGCTGAGGAAGCCATGAAGAAAAAACGGCAGCCAAGGAAAAAAGCAGCGAAGGGAGGTGTGATGGAAAAAACTTCCTTTTTTCCATCGGACCAGCCACAGTCAGATGAAGACGTTGTGGGCAAGACAGTCACCAGACCGCCCGGTTTGCAGATTCTGCCGCATGGGAATTCTTCTGGTCATCTGAGCAAAGACTTCTTCCTTGAGTTCGACGAGAATGGTAACCAGAGACCGAAAATGCAGTTCATTTCTGTCAAGTTGGACAGGATTCTGGATATCCCTGATGAGAAATTCAGATATAATCAACGCTTCCTCGATCAGGAGCTTATTGATGACCTTTATAAAACAATGGTTGAGTCGGGTGAGGCAGCAATCAGAGAGAGAACGACCGGGGCAGCCGGGGTGAATGTATGTGCATTGTACGAGAAGCCTGTCCTTCTGTTGATTGGGCTACATGATACAATGCATATTGACGCTTCCGGTACGAATGTGAGGGCGAGAAGAGTGACGCCCCGCGAATTCGATCTCCAAATCATGCGCAAGTACTACCGGTACCCTCTCAATGGTCAACACAATGTTGCGGCGGGGAGGAAATGTTCTCAAGAATGCCCTGACATCGCCCATGAGCTCCGTTTGGATTGTTGGACTGCAAGGCCTGTTTACTATCCAGATAGGAGCATGGAAAATTACTGCACCTTGAGCACTTTCCAAAATGCGAAGGACAAATGGAATACTCCTCCGCACCAGATTACTATCATTAAGAACATACGAGAGTTGTTGCAAGCAGCCGGTCGTCCTGAAGCTATAGGCGGAACTGCTGCAAACGTCAAAAATAAGGATTACAGAGAGTTTGCGGCGATGGCTCTGCGCGCGACCGGGAGTGATCATTTGGTTACTCTTTCACTTCAGGCTTGGAGGAGGGAGTGGTCTGACTTCCTCGGGCCTTACATGATATTGGCAAGGGCGACAGACGATGTGTTCGACAAGGTGCAACAAGTGTATTCTGCTTGGGAGAGTGGACAGTTGTCGGGGAAAGATGGTGTGAAGCCTGCCACCAAACAATGTGAATCGGGGAAAGCGCCGAGACTTGGCCCCAGATTCGAGTTAGAAAAAGGAGTCAGGGTTCAGTGCACTGGATTCAGAGTACTAGAGGACCTGGTTACCTCGTGGCTGTGCGCGATCCGGATGTCAGATCATGGAAGACTATGTCTACGTTGGGGAGGCGTGAGAGGCTGCAGCTGTTGAGAGACATTCTCACGGGAAGCGTCGTACTGGCTCCAAGGCTAARTAAAGYTGCTMAYACTGYCGGGAAACATTCGATGGAGACATACGTGRAAATGGTGAAGCARGAAAGAGCAATGTTGAGAATGTTTCACTTCTTCGTCTTCATTTCTGACCCTCACAAGAAGCCGTCAGAGTGGAAGGAACCATTCTTCGACAACCTTTCTGATTTGTTCGCTAGGTATTCTGATCAGGGATTGACATCGGAGAGGTGGATCGACCAGGGACGGCATTTCAAAGAAACGAGTTGAGTGCGGTCATTTCCGGCTGCACTTGGAGGCAAGGATGAGAAAGGAGAGGAGGGCTTCAAGAAAACAAAATCGCTTGCAAATAAATGCCCCGAAGAGTTCATTCAATTTGTCAACAAGTTGTTGCGTAGATCTGAAACTGGGGGTTCGCATAGCATTCGTATGTCGGGACAAGCGAGATACTTATATTTCCAGGAACAGGACGTGACATCTGTATTCGTGCCGTTCCAGTGGAAACCGAGCGATGTTTCAGACGAGATGGATTGCAAGGAGATGTTTAGAGCCGTCAGACACCTGACGTGTCACGCAACCGTCCTGGATTTGTGTCGCCCGACCCAGATGGGTGCGTGGACTGAACAAGTGTTTCATGGACTCAAGAAGTTCATGGACAAACTTGGCGGCGAGTATTGGACATTGTTGTGCTTCGTTCCACGCCCTTGCAAGTTCACGTTCTTGAGGCGAGTCGCGATGTGGGACATTCACTTGGATCTTCTCAAATGGACTCGTGTATAACAAACAAAGGGGAAAGCGGCATATAAGGTTGCAAACTTGCCTTTGGAGGACACAGACATAATGGTGGTCATCATGTACTCCAACGACGGGGATTTTCATCACAACACTATTCCCTTGTTTGAAGATATTCAAGCTGCAGGTCCATCATCTGCCGAGCCGGTGGCTGACATATCGGCACTTGTGCGGAGAGAGAGAAAGCCGAAGATGTTGATTGATGTCGTGGAGAAGAACTTTCTACCATCAAAGTGGAAAATGGCAGGTATGGATCCACCGGAGAAAGTGGTCTATGATGGTATGGAAAAGGAGCCGAATGCGATGGTGGAGACATTGGAGCATTTTTGTCCTGCGGATGAGGCTGTCGTTTTCCTCGAGAAAGGTCATGCGGGATTGGTTTGGGAGCTGTTAAAGAGTCACCGTCATTGCATTGTTCTGGAAGGGGAGGGTATGAAGTTCGCGTTCCTCATTCAGTTCATTGACAAGATGGTCAAAACTCGAGATTACTACGCCAACTTTACTAAGCCGCCTCCTCCACATGATGAAGGGCGTGATCTCGTCTACAAGGTTGGTCAAAACGTGGTCAATATTTGGGAGTTTCTCTTCGAAACAAAGCCGCAATGCAGAGGGAAACGTACTTATGTCCTCAGAAGAAAAAAAGTGGAGAAGCTCTTGAGGGGTTATCATAAAGCACCATCGGAGAAGGAGGTTTCATTTCTCGACCGCTTGGAGACCATGTACTTCGACCAACAAATCGGGGCGTTTACAATCGCAGGTTATGTGACTTGTTTTGTGGATCGTGAGGACTTTGATGTCGACGACTCAAAAGAAGAGAGTGTTGATGGCACTTTGCAAGCGGCTTTGGCAGCTGAAAGGCAAAGAGCTTGTAGCCCGGGTTCGCAGAGAATGGGTGTTCCAGGCACATCGTGCGGTTCTAAAGGAGCTTCGAGCATGGCGGTTTCAATAGGTCAGTTAATGACTTAGCCCCCGACTTCTTCTATTGTTACGCCGACTCAGATGGCGGGCAATACGATGACGGTGGCATCCGGAGGTAGTCTGGATCCGAGTGTTCTAGCAATGCTCTCCCCAGAGTTGGTGGCAACTCTGGCACCATTTGTACACAGCCCAAGTACTATTATGGAATTGCTACGCTCTCGAACTCCACAACAACCTCCACCTAATGAGTCTTTGGAGTACGAGATTTGAGACACAATCCTTGCAGACATTTGACTGCTTCCGGGGCCTATAGTGTGCTGAGACGATTATACGGTGACGGATGATGCCACATGGGGTCATCACATTATATGGCACCCCCAACACTTCCAACCTGCATTGGTGAGAGGGAGGTGGGTTATGGCTATAAAAGAAGAAGGGGAGTGACAGTTTTGCCTCCACAGGCGTATGTCAGGATCGAACTTTCTGAAACATGTCAAAAATCAGATTGCCAAGCGACTCTTGCGACTTAATCCGGAGGTTTCTCAATCAAGACTAGATGAAAGAACATAATAAATTTTCCAAGAGTTCAAAACATCGCAATGGCTTGAGTATCTGGAAGAGTTCTATGATAGACAAACCAGCCCAGCTTATGGATATTATAAGCATGTCAGAGAAGATCTTGGGAAGAGGAAAAAATCAAGCGGCGGTGGTGACCATGACAAGGGATCCGGATCGAGCGGAGGTGCGCATGGCAAAGCGTTGCGATCGGGGAGTGGTGCAAGTGACAAGGGTACGGAACCGAATGACGGTGCAAGTGGCAAGGACGCAAGTCGTGGGGAACGACAACAAACCGAAAAGTCTAAGGGGCGTCAAGCAACAGAAGGCAAGGGATCAGCACCAAGCGGCGGTGGGCATGGCAAACCTACAGGACCAATCGGCGGTGGTTCAACTGTCGAAGGGTCTCAGGGGCCTCAAGAAACAGAGCGCACGGGATCAGGATCAAGTGGTGGTTCAACTGTCGAAGGGTCCCACGGTCGAGTCGAACACGACAGTGGCCTCGCATTGGAGCGTTCCCGGCTTGACCGAGCGAAGAGTCACACGGTTGAGTCGAATCCGACAGTGGGATCGGAAACGATCGCCGGTGCGACTGGCAAGGCTTCGGGACCTCAATCGGAAACGATGGCTGGTGCGACTGGCAAGGCTTCGGGACCACGGGGGGGCAGTACAACTATCGGCGGTGCTTCACCTGTCAAAGAGTCACACGGTCGTGTCGAACACGACACTAGTCCAGCAGTCACTGTCGAGTCGAACCCGACAGTGGGAACGGGATCAATCGCCGGTACATCTCTCTCCATCGTGTTGAGTACGGTCCAGCCCTCGAACTTTTGGAAGGTTTTTTCAGAGCGGGGTTTCAGCGACAAAATCTTCGGGAAAAATATCATGTGGAGGAACCTACATCCTACTTTGATACATCAGTAGATGGGATTCCTGCTCAAGAGGATTCTTCTAGTTGTGGTGTTTTTATGTTAGGTTTTACATCTTTGCTTGCGAAAGGTCACTTCCCTCCGTTCGGTTTCTCACAAAATAGTATTCCTTATATGAGACTCAGAATAGAATTTGACATTTTGTCCATGGTTCTAGGTTTGGAAAAATGAGGTTGACATGTTTACTTAGTGTGAACATTCCGGGTGAAAATGTGTATTGTAGGCAATTTTGAAAATATGTTGACAATGTATAATGACATTTCCTAGACTTCTCATCAGTTTTTGATGAGGTTGGCATGTTTTACTGAGTGACATGTTTACAGAGTGGATTGCCAACAATGTAAAATGACATTTCCTAGACTTCTCATCAGTTTTTGATGAGGTTGGCGTGTTTTACTGAGTGATATGTTTACTGAGTGGATTGTCAATCCTTGAGTGACATGTTTGCGGCTTGTGTACGTGTGAACATTCGAGGTGAAAATTTGTGTTTAATTTCCTTCAACAGCTTTCATGTACAACCACTGTTTTCTCGTTGTTTGCTTATTTTTCCCTAAGTTCTTTGTGTTATTTTACAATTAAAATAAAAAGTGAACATGAAAACAATTTCAGTTTTAACGAAAACATCGTTAGCCCAAGTAATTATTAATTAAAAATAACTTAAACTACTGACCTGTAAATAATCACCTACCAACTTAATAAAGTTAATAATACTTTATCGGTAAAAGGTATACATCCCCCATTGTCTTCGATATGCATACCCCGCAACTCGAACCCAAAGCACAAACAATAGAACAATGCATGCTAAATTTGTGCAACTCGAGTAGCTAACCTTACACCTATACACCAGATTAACAGTGCCTCACACACCGGTTATGGGATATGACCCCACACAAAATAAACCCGAAAAAATAAAATCAAAAACGTACTCACACCCGAAGAAAATGGCGCAGAACGTTTTTTCACATAAAAGACGTTAAGGTAAAACACAAAACAGCACCCATGCAGCACCACTTCGAAACGTCACATCGGTCCGAGCACGGTGCAAACGAGCAAACAAACAAGCACGCAAGCACAAACAGACAAACTCCGACATCCCCCGCCCTCTCCATAGCCATACCATCGTCGAAAATAACGGCTTTCTAATACACAGTAGGACAAACATACACCCGGATGTCCGACAACGCCTTGGACAATACAACGTAACTCCCATCACCTTCGCTTACAATATCTCTTCACCCTCCAAAAGGGACACCTGCCCCCCAAAAAAGAACCCACCCCTTGTATGAAAATGCTACAACCATATTCAACACCACCTCCTAAACTAAGCTATACTTGAACACGCCCAACCTAATAAGCTTACACCTACCTCCCAACCCTGAATGCAGTCTCCTCGACCTTCCCTTCCCCATACCCTCCCGATTACTACAACGAGTAGCACATACCGCATAAAAACGGTTGTTGAGCAAGCATGAAGTACTGCCCCTGGCAACGCTAGCTTGTAGATAACGATGTGCATGTACACACATACGCATGCTTACCGAGAAGCTGACCGGAAGCGCTCCCATTGCGTCTTTCCTCACATGCCTACTAGCACATAATCGTGCTAACTATTTTTCCGCCTGAGTTTGGTGTAGCACAATACTGTGCACTTCTCGCTGAGCTTGCGCTGCAGGCTACGTAACATCACGCTGTGCGCCCACAAAAAAAGCTATGGCGACGTAACATCACGCTGCGCGGCCACAAAAAGAGTTATGGCGGCGACTGATCTCCCAGCGACACCAGTCATGACCCCTCAGGTATGGAAACACATTCCCTATCTCCACCCACAACACCTTGAAAACTCCCCGTCCCCTCAATCCTATACTAACAGGAGCACTAACGGTACTAATCCCTCTGATGAGCTTCTATGGGTGCTAGGCGACGAAAAGCGTGCTTAAGGGCATGCATCCCCCCTACAGCTGCGCATCTGCCCTTTCCTAATCAATAACCTACTTACACTAATTGACTGCTCCCTAATTAACAAAATTTACCCCGTATACCTGCTAATACTTATACCCACTCTCCATGTGTGCATCACACGACCTTCATAGCCGCTAGCTAGCTAACACATGACTAATTGGGCGTCTTGGGTTGCATCTTGTTTCCCACGTTGCGTGGATAACCGTGTTACGTACACAACCCCCCCCACACACATACTCGGATCTTTGATCCCTTTGCTAAGTCGGGGTCGACTCCCCTACTGACAAGAGTGCGCAAACCCAACTAACTGCCCACTAATTATCATTCTAATCGATTGATGCACTACAATTGGACTAATGTCTCCGCCTCCCACCCTCACAGAACTGCTTGCGTGCTTTAAAAACCTATACAATATGAATAGGGCAAACTATTCTTTGATTTTTTCAATGATGGCTATATTGCCATAAACATTGTCGCTAATACACACATATATAACCCCCCCCACACACACAAATGCGCACACACACACACACGCACACGAACGTGCACACACACACACACACACACACACACACACACACACACACACACGCACACACACACACACACACACACACACACACACACACTATGACACACACACACGAACGTGCACACACACGAACGCATACACACTCGAACGTGCGCACACACACACACGAACGAGCACATACACACACACACGAATGCGCACACACACGAACGTGCGCACACGCACACACACGAACGTGCGCATACACAAACACACGAACACTCGCACACACACACGCCCACGCACGAACACTCGCGCGCCCACACACACACACGCCCACACACACAACCACACATGCGCGTGCACACAGACACGTGCAGACACACAAATACGCGAGCGTGCACATATGCACACACACACACATATACCCGCACACACACACACACACATACACACACACACACACACACACACACACACACACACACACACACACACACACATAACCAATCAATCAATCAATCAAGTAATCAAATTGATTGATTGATTGGTTGATTGATTGATTGATTGCGATTGGTTTGTTGATTGATTGATTGATTGATTGATTGATTGATTGAATTTGATTCATTGATTCATTCATTCACTGATTGTGTGTGCTTGTGTGTGTGTGTGGGCCAGTGTTTTTCCACCGACCCTACACACTAAAAATAATTAATAAAAAAAAAATCATCAGTGTTTGTTTGTTTGTTTGTTTGTTTGTTTTTTTTTAATTTTGATTTTCTTTATTAATTGTTTTCCCTTCCTTAAAGTGTTCCATTAAAAAAAAAACAAAAAACAGGCCTGTAGACTTTGTTTTTATCTACACGTCCATTCTTTTTTAATTTTTTTTTTGCCCATTTTTAACTCCTGAAAAAATTGTCGGGGGGGGTTGCCTGCAGTCGGCTGCGGACGGTCGACCCGCACAGTCGGGATCCCGACTGCGTGTGGTAAAAAGGCCCGCGGTCATGATCGTGGTTCGATACATAGCCCGAAACCCTTGTCACCGTATGCTCCAGATCAAACCTCACGAATTCCGTAATTTCCTCCAATGAGTCCGGCCACCACTTCTCACACCCCTTTCCGTCAAACACAACCCCCTTTCCTCTAGGATTGACTCGCATAATTTTTCTGCCTTCGTTCCGATGCACCTCTGTCAGCCGTTC